TTTAAATCTAAATTGAGAGTCATGTTTTATTTATAGAAATAAAATAAGGCTGTCAACCCACGTTAATATATCAAACAACTTTTTAAAAGCTCTGGATGCCCAGCTTCTCATTAGAGCATCCTATCACTTTGAAACACATCAAAATCTTTTTAAACTTTGTTTCCTGTGTATTAAGCATGAGAGATGTGAATTCTTTAATACACATTAGATGTTCAGAGCCCTTAAGATTAAATGTATAGATATAGATAAAAATGTGGATAGAGGTATGAATACAGATAGACTTGGTATGACACCTGGCAGGTAGTCAGTTATTTATAATTGATATTAATCACCATGTTACCTCAACCAGAACTTAAAACTATCAGGCCAACAGGTCATTCATCACACAGACTGAGGTATCCTCCACACAGAGAGATCCGATCTAGTTTGAGGGCTGGTTTTACGTTTCTTAGAAACAGTCATCTGGTCACCATTATTGTAGCCTTCATATTGATTTATCCCTTTGTAAGAATTTTTTTACTTATTTAGCTCATAACATACTCGCCCAGAAATATCTGCTTCAAAAAGAGCCTCTTGGAAGTATATTTACCACCAAATAAAATTCACCTCCACTTTCCCTCCCTCCTGCTCTATAAAATATATCAGAACTCCCCTTCCTCCATCGCGGCCCATGACCATCGGGGACACTTGCTGGAACACTCAGCTTCTCTTTTGTAACATGGACCCTACTCCAAGTGGGTAAGAAAGGAAAGACAGCCCAGGGGCCTGGCTTTGAATCCCTTTTAAATGCTATTAATTGCCATTTGAGGCAAAGTACTCAACTTCCCTTAGCCAATGGTCCACATCTGTAAAATGGGTACAGTAATGTCTCCCCTCTGAGTTGCTGCCAGGACTAAATTGACAAAATGATACAACTCAAGGCACCTAAGTACTCGATAAACATTCACTTCCTTTCTGGCCTTTCTTTAGAGCTTTAAGCAGCAGATTCCAACCAATAAATCCAGTTGTTCTTCATAGAGTCTTCATCTGATACCAGGGAGCCAAGGTGGTTGTACATATGTATTACTGATTTCATAGTATTTGACAGTTAAGTTTATACTATGGTGCCCAGCTCTCTGCTCTGTAAAGGGTGTAAATACAGGGGATCCCTCTCCCACCCCAACCACGAGGGATTTTCTCTATGGTTGTCACTGTGTATTGAATAGCTTTAAACACAGGGTCAGCCTGGCCAGTGTGGCTCAGCGGTTGAGCGTCAACCCATGAACCACGAGGTCACTGGTTTGATTCCCCATCAGGGCACATGCCTGAGTTTTGGGCTTGATCCCCAGTAAGGGGCATGCAGGAGGCAGCCGGTTGGTGTTTCTCTCTCTTCCTTCCTCTCTCTGAAGTCAATAAAAACTTATTTAAAAAGAGAGATGAGTAGCTCCCTCTTTTGCACCTGGTACCCAGAAATGGCACCTTTCCTGCAACACCTTCCAATACTCCACCTGCCTTCACACCCAAGTTGACCACATCTTCCCAGAAGCTGCTGCCTCCACTCTGCACATCAGATTCCCCCAAATCTCTCTGCCTTGTGACCCACAGGGAGAGTTATGCCGTATCCCCTTTTGTGCATCTCACCCACCTTGGGCAGTCTGGGAGCATAGAAACTAAATAAAGGTCAGACCACTGATAAGAAGCAGGGACACCCACAGCCCACCAGCTGGAAAACTAGTCCCTAAATTACTGCTGGTCACTAGTGCCATAGACTCCACGTTGACATCGAATAGAAGTGTGAGGTGTAGGCAGGATACAGGGACCAGCTGGGGACTTCATTTGTGTCAAGCACTATGGTACATGCTTTACCTGTGGAGTGTCACTGGATTCTCACAGCTTATGGGAAACTGTAGCTCAGCAACGTGTAGTGACTTAGCCAAGATCACACAAATAGAGATGGAAGGAAATGGGTGTAGAAACCATGCCTGCTGACGCTGGAGCCCTGTGTTCTCAACCTTCATCCCAAGTCCTCACAGAGAAACATGCCAAAAAATAAAGCCCTAACACAAATGGGGGAGTAAGCACTGTATTAGGCTCATAAGAAATTAAGGAGTCGACATTCACAGGCAAAAATTAGTCCTGTTCTCGTGGACTCTGCTGATTCCTCGACCATAGATTCAAGGCTATGAAATTACTCCCTAAAAGGCCACGATGGCCCTGGCTGGTTTGGCTCAGTGGTTGGAGCATCGGCCCAAGGACTGAAGGGTTGTGGGTTCGATTCTGGACAAGGGCATGCACCTGGGTTGCAGGCTGGACCCCTGGCCCCGGTCAGGGCACATGCTGGAGGCAACCAATCAATGTGTCTCCCTCATGTTTATCTCCCCCCCCTTCCACTCTTTAAAAAAATCAATGGAAAAAGTATCCTCGGATGAGATTTAATAACAAAAAGCCCACCTTGGTTGTCCCGTTTCCTGTGAAAGTCTGGGGTGTTTCCCCTGAATGTGGGGTTTGTATGCCACATGCACCGGAATTCGAAAGGCACGCACAGCGTGAGGATGGCAGAGCTGCTCAGCGTGACACTCCACATGCCCCTGACTCAAGAATTTGCAGGGAGTGTCCTCAGATATGTGGGAAGCACCCTTCTGCACTCGCAGCCCCTGCCCAGGCAAAGCGCAGCCTCCCAGGCTTCTATCTGGGCGTGGGACGCGTGTTTCCGACGAGTGCTCTCAGATGATTATTTTAAGAAAGGTTGAGACACCAGCTCCTGCCTGGGGTTCTCGAGTTAGGTGCCCTTTCTAGAGATACGGGGACACACTGGTCATATGAAAATGGCTCCCAACCCATCAAGGACAGGAATCACTTGAAATAAATGACTACCCCTATTTGAAGCTATGATACCAGTATTTTTTTCATGCGCGGGCATTCTTGCATCATTTGAAAGAGACACAAATCAATCTACAGTGACTGATAAAAACATGCAGACTCCCAGGCAGGGCCCGGAGAGCTTGCAGGTGGTGGCAAGTCAATGACGAGGTCTCCATTCGTCTCGGGCATCCAGGAAACCTGCTCGTGCAGCCCAAGATCGAGAGTTACCCCCGGCTTTCCTCCGTGCTTAAGTGAAACTCCACTGAAGTAAAGATGTGGAAAAGTACACTTATTTGTCTTTTCCTAAATTATGATACAATAATATTCCTGGAATTCAGCCTGATGGGCTGAATTTTTCTTTGTAAGGCTGTTGAGTTTAACAGGACTTGTTCTGCGTACAGGGGACATGAACAGAAAGAAAATGCTACGTCTTCTTTCTCCCTGGACTTGGGGTTCCATACATCTACGCACTGACCTGGCCACTCAACACTGAGTGTCCCTCAAAGCCTTGCATTTACAAAATGCATAAAGATGGAAGGGGCTTGTCCTTTTGTTTTTTGTCTGTTTTTAATTAATAGTCTTTTTTTTTTTAGAGCAGCTTTAGGTTTGCAGATAAATTGAGCAGGACGTGTAGGGCTCTCGTACCCCGCCCCCCCCAAGTTTTCCAATTAGAGGAGCAGCGTGAAATAGTGGAGGGCGGTCAGACTGTCAGTCTAGGGGCCTGGGTTTAAATTGTGGCTCCGTGACTCACTAATAATGTGGTCTCTGGACCTCCGCAAATTGGGACTATTAATGCTTTCATATACGAGTGCCTGATGCAAAAGACAACCGCAGTTAGTGCTGGCTGTCGTTTCTACGCTGCCATGGACTGGTCTGCCTATCGGGAGGATTTCCCCTCACCCCTGGCTTTCAAGGGGACACAGGGACGTGGGGATGGGTGGGCGGACACACAAGCAGGCCATGGAAAGACCAGGTGGTGACGAGCTGAGGCTTCACCTCCCCTGTTCCAGGACCACCGTCTGCTGGGGGCCACACAGTCCCGGAAACCGCCAGAATCACCGGGAAAGCTAAGCTAGAACTGCCTGTGTCACTCAGACTTCCCCAAGCCCAGTCCTTACCTGGCATTATTTGGGGATGAACCTGTCTCTCCTCAGTCATGGCTTGTTAAAGCTTTACCTCTACATGGGCACGGTGGGAAGGAAAGGTAGATGACATGTAGGCAGGTGACAGGCAGGTGACAGACAGAAAATCAGTCCTCAGAAGACTCAAGGGCTAAGCAGCATTGTATCTTATACACATTACGTATGCGACGCTGACAGGTGACAGGGGCCGAGGCGACGGCCGACCGCGCGGAAGATCCAAGCCTTCCCTCTGTCACCGCCGCGACCACCCAGCCCGAGGTCCCCGTCAAAGGCACTGCAATTCAGTGTTACAGGATCAATGCGGGGAGCCTGAGGCAGGGCTCTGGGCCCGGCAGCCTCACCCCAGACCTCACTTCTTCGAGACGAGCCGCCTCACCTGTCCGCGCACCTCTGCGCCCGGTCGGATGTGCAGGAGCAGCGGCCAGAGCCCAGCCCAGGAGCTCAGGCTTCATGAAGTGCTGCTGGAACGGAGACAGCGATATTTTTATAACCCCGACCAACTGCCAGCCCTCAATAACCATTTCCGCATGGAGGCTTAACAATGACCTACTTTGCTATTGTTGGAAATTGTTAAAGCCCATGAATTTTAATTTTTTGTTCATCCTTACACGAGGATATTTTTTCCACTGAATTTTAGAGAGAGCGGCAGGGAGGGAGGGGGAGAGAGACGTCGATAGGTTGCCTCCTGCACGTGGGATCGACCTGCAGCCCAGGTACGTGCCCTTGACCGGGAACTGAGCCCTCGACACCTGGGTGCACGGTGACGCTCTAACCACTGCACCACACCAGCCAGGGCCAGCCCAGGAATTTTTAAATAAAAGAAAGGTAAACAGGGAAGGAGAAAAAGAGCAACACACGGGGCGAGATGAGGAAAGAACGAGCGACGGGGAAGCTGCGGCAGGGGCGCTCCTGGAAGCACCTGCATGGGCACGATCAAAGCCGCCCCGTGGCGGCAGCCAGGCGCATGCCCTTCACGCACCTAGAACACCTGGGGCGGCCCCTCCCCTCCTCACGCACCTGGGGCATGGTCAAGGCTGAAGGCAATGCGCACCGGCCGGTCCGCAGGCACCCTGGCTGTGCTGATCATGTGGGCACCGCAGCCTCGGCCTTCCCCTGGGTCTTCCAGCTGTAACGACAAGAGGGGCATCGTCACCACCCAACGTCGTCTCTGCAACACTCAGGGCCCTTGGAAATTAGAGGGCGGTGCTGTTAAACGTTGCTTTCTTATTTTAAAGATACTCCGGGTAACTAGCTTTCCTTCCCCACATCCCAAGAGTTCACCGGTCCCGTTTAAAACCCTTTTTCTGACTTATAGAAATATTGCTTTTGGACACCTAGAATGAAACATACAAGATCTGTTGTTTATCGCCCTTCACACTGACCAGCCCCAGCCTGGCCCTTCAAGGCCTTACATTTTATTTTTAATTGAGGGGATGAAGACCTCTTCACAGGGCAGCAGATGGCTTCACATCAGACTAGACTGGCTTCCCATGCTCAGAAGTCTAAGTTAAATGTGAATTATTGATCTGGGGGGTGGTGAAGAATGAGTGTTGTGGAAGCATTTGAAGAGTACCAAAGACTATTTTAAAATATCCCACAGACATGTTATGAACATTATGTGATTTAAATATCTGACCCACTCCCTGCGACTGTCAGCATCTCTAAGGCAGCACGTCTAAACCATGCATGGTACAAGCAAAAGACAAAACTTGAAAACATCCTATTGATATTCCACCTCATCTATTAAATTATCATTTAATTAATAAACTAGGGCAGAATGAATGGGGAAATGTCCTACAGGTAAGATGGGTTTGGGTGGGCAAAACACACATTTTTTTGTTGTTATAATAAGAGAATTTAGCCCAAATACATTTAAACCAAGATATATGATCATTTTTGTTCACTGGCACTAGGAAAAGATATTGTTATAAATATATCTTTGTTATTTAAATACATATATTTAACTTCTCTATTTTTAGTCATGTTTCCCCTAAACTCTCTACTTTCCTTCTCATGTAGACAGTAAACCCAAAATTCTGAAGGATATTTTAAGGAAAATGTCTCTGAAACGGCAGAATATAAATAATCTTTTATCCATCCCGAGCGGGATTCTGGGAACCGCTTCAGCAGGACATTTTCTCACAAGAAGGTCCCCGACTCTTTCCCATAACTTCTCTCCATCTAAAAATAGTGTCCAGAACACTGGATTTTGTTTTTACAATTATTTATAGACCCGAAGCAAGTGCATATATATGTACGTGTATATTTAGATATAGTATATATGGAACCATCTCACCCAGTGTGTGGAAAGAAAACAGGCTTGTATTAAACACCTAGTTTAGCTTTGGGGTGAAACAGCAAGTGTTTATCACATGGTGCGGACGGTGTTTGCTGCATCCGTTTCCCACTACAAACAGCGAGGAGCCCCAGGGCACCCGCTAGAAAAGAGCAGTAACGGAAACATCCACCTTCAGAAAGGGGTGATATAAAATCAGTGCTTCTTGACCAGGTTGCCCATCTCCGCGCAGCCTCGTCTGCTTAGAGCCCAGCGTCTTGTGAGGCACCTGGCCCTGGGGAGCAGAGCAGGTTGTCTCAAATCTAACAAAACCAACCCTAAAAATCCCGAGCGTTGTACCTAGAAGGTCTTACAGTCACTCACGCACAACCAGCAAACCACGTCATCGAAACACCCAAGGATGCGAGGCCAGCTCCTCTCCCTGCGATTTCCTCCCCCGGAAGCGAGGCAGGAGTGGCCATCTGCTCGGGGTCTGCGGGGTCCCCGGAGATGGGAGGGTGGTGACCGACGCAGGCCGGGCAGAGCTGCTCCCCGCGGAGACATCTGTGCGCCTCAGAAGGGCGACAGGCCACGTCGGGGGCCTGGGGCCCACGGTGTCGCCCACAGCGCCCCACAGCAGCCCGCCTCCCCACCCCTGCTCTGGCTGGGGCAGGGCCGGTCGGGCGCGGGCGCCCGCACCTGCTCCTTACCTCACTCGGTGGGGTGTGCGCCCTCCTGTGATCCAGGGCCAGCGCCGCCGGGCCGCCCGTCGCCTTTGTGCCACAGGGACTGAGCCGGCTGCACCTGCCGCACTGCAGCCACTGGCGGTCTGAGCAGCAGCGACAGCTGCCCGGCGGCGCTGCTACCTGCTGTCCCCAGGCCTCGTCCCACGGGCCTCCTGTTCCGCTTCCCGCTGCCACCCGCTCCCGTCCTCGCCTCTCCGACAGCCGGGATGTTGTCATGCTTCTAGAAAAAGCCGGAGCGGAGAAGCCCTCCTCCTGTCAGAGGCATTGATAAACAGCGGGTTGCCGAGAGTCCAAATGTTTTAATTCATTAGTCCTGGCAAACCTAAAATACAAACAGGCTTGCTTCACACGACAGGAATGTCTTCAGCGTGACCCAATCGGTGTCTGACTGTTCCACCAAACTGGCAAACACAGTGTGACCCAGTCAGCAGAAACGCCGCTGGTCAGCTCAGACGCCCGGCCAAGCCCACGGGCCACAGCGACGCTCGATGACAGCAGCCAGGATCCCCGCTAAGAACGTGAGGCTTGAGGTTGGGCACCGACGGGCTTATGACTTGGTCCCATCTGCAGATGCCAGCGACGGCCGAGGTGAGGGTGTTAGGACTGTGGGCTTCTTAGCAGCTGTAACCTGAAATGTGGAGCGTGCTTTAAAATAATTGGACAGCGCCCAGCCAGGCGTGGCTCAGTGGTTGAGCGTCCACCTCGGATCCAGGCAATCGGGGTTCGATTCCCCGTCAGGGCACATGCCCGGGTTGCGGGCTTGATCCCCAGTAGGGGGCGTGCAGGAGGCGGCCGATCAATGCCTCTCTCATCATTGATGTTTCTATCTCTTTCTCTCCCTCTCCTTTCCTCTCTCTGAAATCAATAAAGATATATTTTTAAAAATAAAATAAAATAATTGGACAGTGACGATGAGGTTAAATAATTAAAGATAAACAAGCATTAAAAGAACGCAAACTGGGAGAAAGCCTCTGCAGGATGCGTGACAGATAAAGGGCTGGGGTCCAAAGTGGGGAAAGAACTGTTAAAACGCAACAATAGGAAAACACACAACCCAGTTATAAAATGGGCAAAAGATCCGACAGCTCACAGAAGGAGCTGTACAGACGCCTGCAAGCGGGGGAAGGCCGTAAACACCTGTGTCCCCAGCTGACTGGGTCAGACCAGGAGACGCACCTGTCAGAACGCGGCAGCCCCGAGTGCCGACACCGCCCCCTGCTGGGCGGACGCGGAGCAGCAGGTGCGCCATCCACGCGGGTGGGAAGCGAGGGTGCCGGCCCCGCAGCGTGCGGTTCTCACAGGACTAAACGCGCTGCGACCACACGACCCAGCAGCCTTGCTCCTGGCTGTTCACCCGAGGAGCTGGAGACGTAGGTGCACACAAAGCCCTATGGCAGCTTTATTCATAGTGGCCAGAACCTGGAGGCAGCCAAGATGGACTTCAGCAGGTGATGGGTACATTAACTGCGGTCCGTCCAGGCAATGGAATATTATTCAGCGATGAAAAATGAGCTCTCAAGCCACAAACATGGAAGAAACTTACATGTGTATTATTAACTGGAAGAAGCCAATATCAACCATATAACATTCTGGAAAAGACAAATTTATGGAGACAGGAAAAGCTCAGGGGTTGCCAGGAGTCCAGGGAGAGGGACAGAGGGATGGGTAGGCACAGTGCAGGGCACTTTCAGGCAGCGGAGCTACTCTGTGTGATACTACAGTGGTGGACACATGTCACTACACATTTATCAAAACCCATAGAATGTACAAAACCAGGAGCAAACCCTAACGTAAACTACGGAATTTGTAGCAAGTGTAACAAATGTATCACACTAATGCAAGATGTTAATACAGGGAGAAGTTATGGGGGAGGGAATATATGGAAACTGAGGTTTTTCACTCATTTTTTTAACCTGTAAGCCTAAAAATGCTTCCACAGATGTTAAAATAAGAGGACTCAGCAGCTTTCCTTGACCTAATGAATGGAAGGCTAATTCATGGTAAAACGCGGGCAGTAGGAAGATTCAGATCCTTAGAGCATCCGCATACAAACCTTACGTTTCTAACTGCAGATCTGTCCAGGAATCATTGCTGTTACGACGACGTTATTTTATAGTTACTGTCACCTCACATGACACATACAACGTATTGAAGAGTCTCATTCAGTTTCTCCTGTATTCTCCTGAAGACCCTATAAAATAATCATGGTCTGTATCATCTTCCCCACGGGACAGATGAGCAAACTGAGACTCAGACAACTTGCGCTCAGGCTCCTGCTGTTTCAGCTGCAGCAGGTGCCGTCTGCGTGAGAGATCTGACAGGATTGTTTCGTTAACAGTAAGTCTAGCTCTTGGCTCTCGGCTTGGGGCAAAGGTGTAACTTTCTCCAATGGTCTCCCATCCAGGTTCATCTGGCCCCGGCGCCTTTGTGACCAACCCTGCGGAAATCGAAGTTGTGTATCTTTTGTTTGCTGATGGGGAGGTGGGTTCCACACCTGCATGGCCCCCAGTCAGCTCCGGGTCCGACTTCAGAAAAGTGGGGTAGGGGGGTGATGTTGGCATTGCCACAGTAACGAGTGACTGGAAGCATCTGGATTCCAATGAAACTGACCCCTCGGAATAAAAAGACCCGGAATGAGGTGGCACCTCCCTTCTCCGCCCTGACCACCAAAGCCCTTGGGGAACCGCCCAGAGGTAGAAAGGGGCAGCTCCACACTGAACACAATGGAAATGATCATCTGCATGATACTGTCCACCACCTCACAGATTTGCATAGAGCTTTACCCAGGGGTTCTCCAGCATCAGGACAGGATGCCGGGGCTGCCCAGGGTGGAGGCTGTGTGTCCACGCGGCATCCTCGTGACATCAGGGATGACATCACCATGGTGTGGCAGAGGCCCAGTTGGTGAAGAGCTACAAAGGAAAAGATCTCATTAAAGGACAATTTGACCACGACAAGAAACAAAAAGAATACATCTAAATAAGCTAAATGTGTTCTTTCCAAGTCTGACCACATAAATTTAAGATTTTCAAATAATAATGAATATTCCCTAGTTCTATTCCCATAGGAGCAGCCATGTATTTCCTGGCTCTTTAGCTAAACTTTTCCAAGAAAGTAACAAACCTGAACCCCAAGTGGAATTTCTTTCCAGAACTGTAACCCCAAATAGCCATATTGTATTTTAAAAATTCAATAAAATTATAGTAATTCAGTCCAATAAGGATTATGTCACATCAAAACATTACCAGGCAGCAACATCTGTTACTTATTTTACCTTTTCAGAAGTAAATGTATTTTTACTATTATGTAGAAAGTGATTTTTATAGTATTCAAGGAGCTTTCAGAGAATGAACTCTAGACTTGCTCCGAGTTACGGCCGCTAATATCCTCAGCAGCTCGTGGGACAGACTGTGGTCACAGCAAATGTGATCTCATCAATTCAATAAACATTTTGGAAGACTGAGTTTGTTCCAGGCCAGCGTTTCTCAAATTTGCCTCAATCCTGGCTTCTGCCAAGGCAGCGACTCAGTAGCCAAAAAGCCACAGGTTTGACTGAATGAAGTGAGGTGCCCCCGTCCTAAACAGCGTGCTTGCCGAACACGCCCACTCGGTGTCTGCCACGGGCTGTGTTCTCCTTCCCAGGGCACGAACTCTTCAGGCTGGAGCTGAGCAGCTCCAGAACATAAAGGCGTTTGTAAAGCTGCGTAAGAGGAAGAAAGGCAGGACAGGGGACCAGGAGTGGGGAGAGCAACGTGCAAGCCCACGGGACAGTCTAAGTTTTTCTGCTCACCCCC